CTGAAAACAGTACTGGCTAGAGGGCTAAATTTTGCTGTCACCCCGAAACATATTCCTGTAGATGATATCATCTCTCAGGTCGATGTAGCCCTCAAAGGCATAGGACACATCCAAGCAGACGTTGCGAGAGCTGAAATAGCCACTATTCTTAAGAATGCTAAGAAACCCATTAGCAACATCAGCAAAAATGAACGCTCTGAACTCGCGAATTTAAAAAACAGAAGTGATATAGTCATCCTCTCAGCCGACAAAGGCAACGCCACTGTAATTATGGATAAAGATTCGTACAACAACAAAATCCAGAACCTACTCAACGATGGAAGTTACTCAAAATTTTAAAATGACCCTACTAATAGCCTAACTATAAAAACCAACAAGATCATCACAAGTTCGACCTCCCTAATCGAACCAACTAAACGTCCCTCCCTAAAATCTTCTGCTGCAAGACCCCCTAGATTCTATGGTCTCCCCAAGATTAATAAAGAAGGCACTCCACTACTACCCATCGTATCCACGATCAACTTCCCTACCTATAAGCTAGCACGTTTTCTATCAGATACCTTGCTACCTTTCACTGGCAAGACCTCCTCAGCAGTACTTAACTCAGCCCAATTGGTCTCTATGGTCAAAGACGTTGTACTGTCCCCTGACGATATCCTTGTCAGCTTCGATGTGGTCTCTCTGTTCACCAAGGTCCCAGTACCTGATACCATTGAAATAATTGAAAATTTGGTATAACATGGACTAGACCCCGATACACCTGCGCTGGTTAGACACTGCCTCACCAATACATATTTTACTTGGAACGGCACCTTCTACAAACAAAATGAGGGTACCCCCATGGGTTCTCCCTTATCACCAGTGATAGCCAATGTTTTCATGGAGAAATTTGAATCAGACGCCATCCAGACTTCCACCCACAGACCTTCGCTGTTGAAGAGATATGTGGATGACACTTTCGTCATTTGGCCACATGGCCTCCCAGCTTTGAACCTTTTCCTACACCACATCAATTCCAGACATCCCGCCATCAAATTCACCATGGAAGTGGAGAAAGATGGCAAGCTACCATTCTTAGATGTTCTGTTTGAGAGGAGACCTGATGGCTCATTGGAGCATTCTGTCTACAGGAAACCCACCCACACAGATTCCTACTTGAAACCTAATTCCCACCACCACCCAGCTCAAAATAATTATCTCATCAAAACGTTATACCACAGGGCTCATTGCATTTCGGACCAACACCACCTGACCAGTGAATTAAAACATGTACACCTGGCCCTCAAGAGAAACGGATACTCTGACCGTACCATCCGCTAAGCTGTTTCTCCCTCCATACAGAAACAACCACTTGATACTCCGGTCAAAACGATCACACTACCATATATGGCAGGCATTACTAAAAAGATCTCCAAAATTCTAAACAAACAAGATCCTGGTCCGGTTCAATACAGTACACAAAATCCGTGACCTGATCCCATCCATGAAGGATGTCATTCCTGACTTACAGTACCCCGGGGTTTACAAATTGAGCTGCACTTGTGGTGATTGCTATATCGGGGAGACGAAACGACATGTCTCTGACCGAATTCGCGAGCACAAATCAGATTTGAAACACGGCAGAACGAATTCTTCTGCCGTAGCTGATCAATGTTACAACGCTGTGGGTGATCACGATATAGTTTTCTCCGAGACCAAGGTTCTCTGCAAACCCACGGGTTTTTATCAGAGATTTGTCCACGAGGCAATTCAAGATTTACAAACGCAGACACAATTTCAACCGAGAAGATGGTTTCAAATTAAGCAATCATTGGAAAGATGTGCTAAATCATACCAAACATTAAACTAATTTTCAATGGTACAGTATATTTATCCAAGTAGTGATATACCAAACTTTCACGGCAGCTTATTTCCCTTCAAAACAACGTTTGCATTGTCAAATTCCCCTCCCCCTCCCCCCCGTGTTAAGTGTTCTATCAGCACTTTAAGTGTTCTATCAGCACTTTATGCTAATTCCTTTGTTAAAGCGTTTGGTTTCCTCCCACACAGCTTAAAGGACGCGACCTGCCTTGACTTTCTTAATTCCAATTCAGAACAACGTTTGCACTGTCAAATTCCCCTCCCCCTCCCCCCCCGTGTTAAGTGTTCTATCAGCAATTTAAGTGTTCTATCAGCACTTTATGCTAATTCCTTTGTCAAAGCATTTGGTTTCCTTCCACACAGCTTAAAGGACGCGACCTGGGCTTGGCTGTTTTCACTCCAACGCTGTCCTCATGACAGCACGGTCCCTTCACCTGATGAAGGCCACTTGTGTTGTGGCCGAAACGTCGTGATTTTTGTTGTTTTATATTTTTTTTACCTACGTGACTTTACCGAATAGAACCAAAGAGTACAGTATTTTGGTGATTGCTTTGATTGACGGCGTTTTGATATTCGTCATCGCACCTTTTAGGAACGCATCCCTGAACGTAAACCGGGGAGGGAGGGGGGGGGGTATTGCTGAATTGTTGTAGTTTTATTCCATCAATTTGGCTAATCTCTCTCGTCAAATAGTCGATACAGGCAATGAAATCATCGTCATCGGACTCTTCATTTCAACGTGAAATGACCCAGGAAAAGCGCATTCGCCGATTGCTGCAGAGGTTCCCAGTTCAGACCCCGGCAGGCCTCCCTGGTTAATATTTGCACGTTCACTAGCAGTAAAATACACGCCGGCTGCCTCACAGTGGGTGTTAAAAGATCCTGCGATGTGGTTCAAAAGGGAGTAGGCCATTTTTGTGCCAGCGTCATGGTCCACATTTGAACAATGACCTGCAATTACCCGGTTGGGAATGCATTGCTGTGTGACGGCTGCAGACAATGATGATCGCCTTGGTCTATGAGAAAAGCACGAACACCAAATCTATTCAAATAATATTATTATTGGTGGCCTCTCACTTGATACGAAATCAGCCTGTGAATTGTGAATGTCAAAAGGTTTATGACATTGGCATTTTTCAAGTCTGCTATCATTTTTACCCCGTACATTTAAGTGTGCTAAAGTTATGCAATGCAAATAATTGTCACTGTTGCAGTTTTGCATGAGACAGCTGATTATGGGTGGGTTGCTGACTAGGTAACTGAACCTGCAATTCTTGGCCTGCCTCGAGTCGTGACACTTTGTACTCTTGGCTTTTGTGAGTTGCTGAGCCCAAAAAAAACACATCGGCCTTTTCACAACCGACCTCGTGCCCGCGGTCACCCACGGCAGACAAGAGTGTGCGGATTCGCACGAAGGAATGTTTGTGGTCACACACAAGTTACCTTGTTTAGAGTCAGCCCGGTCAAAGGCAGGGCAAGCGTAAATGATATACCCTGGGTCATTCCGGCCTGCCATTATGATCTTGCGAATTGCAAGTTGTCCGACGATTATGACCATGTTTTGAGGAGGCAGGCAGCGGTGCAGTGGTTAGACCACCGTACTTTGAACCCGGCGACCCAAGGTCGATTCCTGTCCCGCGGCTAAACATCAGTGGTGATATCTGAACTGGTCCTGGGCTTCCCCAAACTCCCCCCCGCCCATCACCAACCCGCATGAAACAGCGTGGTAAAGTATGGGGGGGGGGGGGGGAGAGGCATTCATCCAGCAGTAGATTGACAGATGGTTGTAAATTACGTTATGTTTTAGATTTGAAGCTTTCGTGACCGCAAGGATCCATACTCTTTGGTTCTAAAACAACAAAAATCACGACGTTTCGGCCACAACACAAGTGGCCTTCTTCAGGTGAAGGAACAGAACTGTCAATTGAAGTGCTGTCGTCCCGACAGTTCTGTTCCTTCACCTGAAGAAGGCCACTTGTGCTGTGGCCGAAACGTCGTGATTTTTGTTGTTTTATTTTTTTACCTATGTGACTTTACCGAATAGAACCAAAGGTTACGTAATATTATTAAATGTTACTATTATTGTGATATTTTATTACCCACCTCAGCAAGTGCTCCATCGTGCTCTGTAGGGTGAGTCACCATATCAACCACCTGAACAATTGTAGCCCTTGAAGTAGGGCAATATTGAATTAAGCTAAACAGGCAACATTAACGCGGTGTTTATTGAGTACGCATATACCGATGACGGGGGCTGACGTGGTCGAGCATCTTGTTTTGTCAGAGATGGACTCAAACCTCGGTCACATTGCAGGATCTTGCTGGGCCCCAGCACAGTGCTGGGGATACACGGCCACTATGAGGCCTCCGATTCAGCCAACATTCACAAGAAAATTCAATGCGACAAGCGCCGTTGAGATTTGGGGATTTAACGACCATCAGTTTACTTCGAGGGCCCTTTCTGTCAAAATCTTAGGTCAATGAAAATCAATGATGTGTGCTGGGTTTCAGCCAGGGCGGTGCTCACATGCAGATATTATCACCCCGCCCCCCATCAATGCTAGACCCATCTATCGTATGACACGTGCTGAGCTATTGCCAATAGAAAACAGCAGATAAGCAAGCCAGCACGTGGGCCGATGAGCTCAATTAGGCAAATTATTGGGTCAGACATATGAATAAAAGAATCAGAATGTGAACCTCATTCGCTTAACGATACATCATAAGCAATAAAATGACTCTGATTAGCGTACGGTGCAAAAGAAGTTCGACAAACAGAGGTGGTTTTTCGTACTCACTGCATGCAAACCCGCAAATATTTGACACAAGTCAGCCACCTTTTGAGAAGACAAGTCAGGGCCAACTTTCAGCCGTGTCTGTCCCGGATCAGCAACCCGGAAAACATTTCCACACCCGGCACACCACCACCACCACCACATCCAGTATACCTACTGCTGTGGCTGCGGCTGCTGGTCACGTGCCCACTCCAGCCAACCGGCGGCCCGAAATACACTTTGGTGAGAAATACGAGCTGCGAAACAAGGAGCGTGGAAAACCAACGGGGCTCACCTCACCTCACCTCGCCTCGCATCATCACCTGAAAGTGGCGACGCCAGTGAGGAGGCACTGCGGTGACCTACCGTGTAGCGCTTGGTGCCTTCGCACACCTCCTCTGTGCTGTGGATTTCGGCGGCGAGGCCCATGGCGCCTGTGGTCCCGGCGACCGGCGGCGGCGGCGGCGGCGGTGTGCGTCGCGGTGTCGGTCCGCCTCCCCGAGGTCGTGGAGAAGGAGGTGGCGGTGGGTCGCAGGAGCAAAGGGGCCGCTCTGTCATTCACCCGCCCGCCACCCCACCCACCCCCAATGGTGATGTCGAGGAGCGACCTTTGGCCGGTTGAGGTAGCCACACCATTGCCTTATCGGAGAGCATGCGGCGTGCTCCACCCGCTCTCCGTGGCACCCGCCCAGCTCTTTTATGTACAACTTGGTGCTGAACTTGACACGGGATTGACAACAGTAAAAAAAGAAAACTAGACGTAACGTTTTTTTACAATGCGCCACCTCCAGTGTCGTGAGCCCGTGATCTATCCGCTGCGGGATGAAGGCCTCCCAAAGCCAATGCCTACCCTCGCGCTATCACAAACAATCCATTTAGCTCCTGCACATGAGCAGATTTCACTTCTCCATCTCTTTTTTTGTCAATGTCCTCTCAAGCAGGCATTCTTTATTTGGCTGCCATTCCACAGGTTAGCTTCTCTGTCTGCTCGGGACTCCTAGTCTGTCTCATTGACCTGGACATCGAGATGCCCGAACCTTGCATTTTTCTCCACGCTTTCAGGATCCCTGTGCACTGCTCACGGTCAATGAAGATCTTCATGACAGTGGGCAAACCTTGGTAAAGTTACATGGGCAGAGCATTCAAGGAAATACCTGTTGACATCGTGGTGGGACAGGGGTGTTCTCTGTCCCGAGCCTTATTAGGCATTTTTTTTATTTTATCACTACGTAGTTTGAAAAAGCGTAACAAAGATTTACAAGTGAATTCCATCGTAGATTGATAAAATGCGTGGCCAATTTATGTGCTTAGTGCGGCGAAGGTACGGCTCCTTACTGGACAGCCATGTTACGTACGCTGATAACCTGCTAGTTGCTGCTCACTCTGAGGCACTGGAGCCTCTGCATCCGAATGTAGAAGAGTTAGTGCCTTGCCGTCAGCACGATTAAAATAAAGCACCTGCTTGGGTACTTTGTGGCATCAAACACCCCACTCCTCAACTCTCCATGAGTTATTCGGCAGTGTAAAGAAGGCTGGAGGAGTTTCCACACCTGGCAAAGGTGCTCATGGGATTTGCTTTCATCCTCATGAGGCTTCAGGATATAATGTCCTCTCTACTCTATGCTTGACACCACTGTGGTGACATCACTGCCACTCAGTGGAAAACACTGGTTGTTGTTGCTGTTGTTGTGTGTGTGCGTATGGGTTTGTGAGTACAGCAAGCATGCATTGGCATCATCATTTTGTTGCATCATCAACATTATCGACCTCAATATTGTCATTGGCACAATTTACCCTAGAAGGGAAATAAATGTGCCCGTTCAGCATATGTAAACTTTACTCATTGGTTCTATTGGGTAAAGTCACGTAGGTAAAAAAACGTGACTTTACCCAATAGAACCAAAGAGTATGGATCCTTGCAGTCACGAAAGCTTTAAATCTATGTAAACTTTGTTTAAAATGTATTTCATAGAAATTAGCTTTAAATAAGATGGTGCCTTTAATGATAATTGTCATTCACCTTCATAAAAGGGTGATTCACCGGCTTCGTCCTGCGCAGCTGTGCACTTTCACAAAACACACCAAGAGTCCAAATTATTTTCTGTTCCAATGCGCACTGGGGCAGTGCTCATATCCTATTTTCAGCTCTGAGCCAGCGGTGCCAATTCCACATTACTATGGCGGGGGAAAGTTTAACCACTGAGGTCATCACAGCTAAATGCTGTTCATGAGATCACACCATCACTTCCTTCGTTCTGCTAGATCTCACGGTCGGTGAAAAAGTCTCATCTCGAGATTAATTTGGCACCTGTCCATAACTCCATTTGTTTTCCCCTATTATCCACACCATCATGGATAACTGAAAGGTGCTCATGTGCAGAGGACATAATCGTGGATAGCAAGTCACGAAAAAAATGGACTGTAAATGTGAGAGATTTCCTTCCACATGAAACGATGTATGGACATTCACTCTTCAAAACGTGAAGAGAATGCCATCTAGCATTAAGTAACAGATGCTCGGTGAGACTGGCAGTTTTGTGTTCCGAGACCATTCCCTGATATGGTGCGATGCTCTGCCGAGTTCTAGGACATGTATTTGTTCTCATCACGATGATGACACGGTTAGGATATCATTGGTGAAAAACATCCACAAAACATTTTTTCAGAGTGGGCAAGCCCAAAGGGTCAAATGGGGTTTCCAGGGCCACAGGAATCCACTGCAGATGCGAGAGAATTTGCTGACTACAGAAAACGCTGTGTTCTACAGCTCACGCGCAGCCATGGGTTCACGGCAGCATGGAGACAGACTTTGTCACGTGTTTTTTTATTTCTCTCTAAATTCAAAGGTCACCCTGTTTTGATTATTGGCCCATGAATGTGCCAGGTTTTGTTCAGTCTGTCTCAATCAAGGGCACAGTCTGGAAAAAAAAGTGCCGTACGGTTTGTGTACAATTACATTCTGACTCGCCCCTCGCTGAACGTCTGTGAAAAAGGGCTCTATAGCTCATCGGATTCCTCCAATATAAATATTCTGATCATGTGTTGCAGTGCCAAATGCGGCCGTCAGTGTGGTTGCATTGCCTGTGGAATACTTTAACCACCAAGCATGAACTTCTTGGCTTTTACTTCTGCATGAACTGCACAATCACGACATAAGTCAGTATCCTTTGTCCTACCAGATAAATTATGCCAGGCTGAGTTTACTTTGAAGCAATCACGGGAAGTGTCAAAGACTTGTTAGATTAGGTTTTCCCATTTTTTTCTGGCAACAAAACAGGTGTTAAGATGTTAAAACACCAAAATAAAAGCTTTTACAAGGAATCACGTCTGCATTAACCACAATACTTGTATTTTGGTGTGGACGAATCAGTTTCAAAGACAATGCATATATTATAAGAGTATGTTTTTTGTTTGCATTCTGACCACAAGTATTGTGGTTAATGCAGACATGATTCCGTTTCAGTTTGGTGTTTTAACATCTTAACACAGCTGTTTTGGGTGTTTTAACATCTTAACACAGCTGTTTTGTTGCCAGAAAAAAAGGGGAAAACCTATTCTCATATTTTGGCACTGGCAAAGGAGGTGCCATGATGTCAGAGACTTGCTCGTTGGGGGTCATGTACGTACGTATGTTGAACTTTTTTAGCACCGTACGTAGCCAACCATGCTAATCGGAAGAAGGAGGGAAGGACAACAAACTAAAGATAAAATGCAATTCTAAAGAATTACATTTTCAATTTAGAGGAATGGGACAGACCCAGGTCCTATGGATTGACTGACTGAGATGATTCGGCAGACGCACCAGCTGTGCCCCCTACTGTGCCAATTAGCTGCATTTTAGTCACCCAGGGCTCCGCTCGTTGTTGTGAGCACTCTTCCCTCCGCTGTTGTTGGAGGGCGACTGCCTCCATATCCATGAAGGCTGCTCTTGACACCGCTGGTACCACCAGTCTTCGGCAAGGCCACTCATCTCCACATCCTTCTGTACCACATAAGCCCACCTCTTCTCTAGATCGTGCCGCACCCGTTTAGCCCCCTCAATCTGGCCAATCAGATGCTGCTTGGGCATGCGGTGGCTGGGCATGCGGGCTACATGACCCAGCCAACGCAGCCTCGCGTGTCAGAGGAGCGCACCAATGAGACAGTTTCCAGATATGTCAAGGACCTTTGAGCTCCTCACACAATCCAGCCTGGTGGCACACACACACACGTGCATGAATGTGTTGCCAAGCAGGATCCTGCACTATCAAGGTGAACTGTCCATGCAGTGGAACACACAGGCATGTGATTGCCAGTCTCCACCAACTTTGCCTCAGACAGTGCTAGCAGTGAGTTTCCGAAGCTCCAGGCTCCACCTCGGCTGCTCGCTGTGCCCTCGCTGAGCGGCTTCGGGAAGAGTTACGGGATTTCTCGGCACTGCTGGGTGAGGTGATCCTGTGCTCATGGGTTTCTCATCATTTACAGAAAGTGTTGCCTATAGGAGGGGTTCCCATAGTGTGTCGAGGTAAGCCCTCTCCATTGATGGGCTCTCAATAGGAATAGAGTGGCAGTGATGTGGTGAGGCCTAATGAGGTTGTCTGTTTCACTTGTCTGTTTCACTGCTGCTTGTGGGAACGGCCACATTGTCAACTCTTCTTTATCTGGTGGCCTCAAACATCAAGACGGCCACTCGTACAACTCCATTGAGTTGGTGCTGTGGACAAGGCCTTAGAACATTGTACAGGTACTCCTTGGCATAAGCGATAGATGCGTTCCTGGAAAAAGTGCGTGTATCTCAAAATTGCGTGACGTCAAAAGCAATTTTCCCATAAGAAATAATGGTGAAGGAGGGAGTTAGGGGATTTCATTCACACCCGCAGACATAATTGCCTCTATTACCCTAGCCTCTATGAATACACGTGTGTGCACGTGTTCCGCGCGTGTGTGTACATGTTCCGTGCGTGTGTGTACACATGTTCTGCGTTTGTGTGTACATGTGTACACACACACAGGGAAAACGTGTACACACATGCGCGTGGAACACGTGTACACACACGCGCAACACGTGTACATGTACACAACAGCACAATGAGAGACGCGGGACAAAGGGAAGAAATGCTGTGCAATATAGCACACGAGTTATCGTACCCCACTGGCTGCTGGCAACGCCATTGAGTGGCGGTGCCAGGCTAGGGTGGCATATGTCACGTTGCGGATTGTGTTATTCCGAAAATTGCCTCGCGTATGTCAACAAAAGGTCTAAATCCAAATCGCGTGTCATTCCTAAATTGGCGTCCCGCAAAGGTGCGTAAAACCGAGGATTGCTCGTCCCTGTAACAGAGGTACCAGGGACGAGCGGCCAGGGGAGGCAGGGGAGGCAGGGGAGGCAGGGGAGGCAGAGCCCCAGCTGTCATGCTCCAATGGAAATAGCGGTTACGAATTTTTTTTTTACAATCAAATTAAAAAAAATATTAAGATGTTTCCACTGATCTGTGTTTAAATGTCATTTCTGTACGATGCCAATCATTTTTGTAGTCAAAATCGCCAAATTTGCGGAGCTCCGCTGCAAATACAGCGAGAGACGAGAGGTGAGGCAGCGACGAGCTCAGCCTCCCCTCTGATTGCGCAACCTCTCAGTAACTGGATGGAGCGTGGGCAGTAAGCGCGTGCCTGTTACTATCTCTCTGTGTGTCACCAATGTAATGTTTGTAGACCCCTTCATTTCATGTCCTCGCCTTCCATACTCCAGGTAACTTATTTCACGTACGTGTATAAAGATATTTAGGCTCGCTGGTCTCGTCATGAAACTGCAATGAAAAAGCACCAGGGGAGGCAGCTATCACATCTGCCTCACTGAGGGGGACGTGTCTAACACGCCCCCCTCAGTGAGGACACGCCCCCTCAGTGAGGCCACACCCCCTCAGTGAGGACACGCCCCCTCCTTGAGGCCACGCCCCCTCAGTGTGTGAATCTGGCTCTGACACTCGCCAGTGCCTCCCCAGCCATTGACCTCAACGCACGACACAGCTGTATACGTAATGCGGTGGTCACGTGACACGCATGCAAGGCAGAATAGGAGTGGGGACTTCCTGCCATTTGTGGGCCGCACACCTCCCTGTGTGTTTTGAAGTCTGTACAATCTCAAGGTGTTGGCTCTTCATCATGCTTCCAGTATCTGATGGCTCAAACCTACAGCCAGGCTATTCAACGGGGTCCCATGCTCACAAAAATATCCCACTCTTGAGAAAATTATCTGAAATTCCATCACTTTATTGTTTGAGCATCCCCTTTGCACAGGAATCACGTCGGTTATGATGTCACCGAGTCTTAAACACAAGTTACGCACGGCGATCTCCGCGTCACCACGTTGGGCATTAGCCTTTTGATCCTGTGCAAAATGTTTCAGTGTCAATCACGCCAACGTATTTGTATTCTCTCATCAGCCGAGTGGGTCCAAAGCTCTCCGGTACCTGGGCAGATGGGGTGTCGCTCATGAGGCCTGTGGGTGGGTGGGTGGGCGGGCAGTGCCACCAGGAACCATGCCAGAGGATGAAGATTTGGAGGCCCCCCCCCCCACCGCCCCCACATCTGTGTGGAAAATGAAAGCTGGGTCATGAACCGTGTGGCTATATACTACCTCTGAACAGCATGCCACGACAGTCACAGCTGATATGTCGTGGCCTTGGCAAAGAGATTGTAAATGCAGACTTGGGCACACTGCGGGGCCAATAGCTATGGAGGTTGAGCAACACATTGGCTGAGCGAGCTCGTCTATGGGGCGTATAAAAACATCATTAGGTAAGACATTTATTGCTTGCTCAGACCAAAAAAAAAACCTCAGCATCTGATCTGATAAATTTAGTGGCTTTTGAATAATTAAAGTGTCAAGGTGATTTGAAGATCATAAACGAGATTGACTTGATCCTATAAAACATACCATTGCTGCAAGGCTTGCAATGGGTTTTATTGGAGCTAAACTTAGCGAACTTTATTATCCGTGAGCTGTACGGTCAGCAAAAACACAATCTCCAAGCAAGATTATTGCCACTACCTGGAGACGCACGTAATTTTGGCTATTCACGAGCTCCAGAGTATTTTTTGCTCTACTCTTTCACTCTGACCAGACGTGTTGGATGAGGTGGGCGTACCCACACATTACTCCACCACACACAGCCGGCCGATCGACTTAACGAAGTCTACCGCCATTGGCGTAGTGGCGACATTATCAGCTCAGGGGGTACGGCAATCGGGTCAGGTGGGGCCCCAATTTTTTTTAATTTGTCTCGCTAATCACATTATTAAGCATTTTCATACAAATACATTGAAAACCGCGTTTTAAATAAAAATTTTATTTTACACTGTTGTTGAAAGTATATCTTATGGTGGTTGACAAAGGGGCCCCAAACTCGTAGCTTTGGCCACCAGGGTGGGGGGGTGGGGGTGCAAGGCAGCCCCTGTCTGCCCCAAACTCCTTATGCTACTCCTGGTGTGCCCATTTACACTGGGGCACACCGCCGAGAAAGAAGGACTTCAGAAACTTTCCCGGTGAGAATCGTGTTGCTTGTTACTACGGCCAAGTCCAGACATCGAACTCAGGATCGCGAGCCCAGCGGCACGCCACACGAAACCAACGGCGTCTCCCCTATCACACAACCCATGTATGCATGTTGAACTTCTTTCGCACCGTACGTGGCCAACCGTGCTAACTTCGCGCCCTGCCGGATTTCTCCTTGAATTGCCGCAGGGCCTCCGCTGAATAAGTCGCATCTCCACAGCCTCTCACGAAGATCACGAGGGCGACGGAGGGGGTAGGGTCGGCTTACTGCGTTAAGAACAGAATCCCGTGTCCCATTAAGCAACAACAAAAAAAAACCAGCTCAGACCAACTCACACGCGGCAAACACAAACGGCAGAGGTCAACGCACCGCTCTTGAACGTCACGAGCATGCCGGCGCTGCTGGCCGTCTGACCGGGCGGTCGGGCATGCGGGCGTGCGGGCGTGCGGGGCCGGCCAGCGGGCGGGTGGGTGGGCACATCGATGGTTTTAGCACCGTCTGGTCCCGACCAAATTGGAACGAAGGGAACCCGAGTGTGCCTGCTTGCTCCCACCGCTGCATGCGTCGGCACGTGGCGGCGTGCGGCAGAAGCGCGCCTTACGCAACCTATCTGGAGCACGAGGCAGGCCAAAACAAAAACCAATGCCCTTCAGCTTAGAGGGCTTGGTTCAGCACTGCCACTCCCCACACCCACCCACCAAATACTGCACTGACATCTTTGCGCAGCCAGTCTGCTTGGCGGTTACAG